GTCGGAGAGATGCCGCTTGTCGCCAAAATACTCGCATTTCATCATACCCGCTTCTGTGATAACTTTGCCTGAAATTTATAGGTCACATAACTGTAAAGCAACCGGTCAGACAGTAGTACCTATGGTACATTGTCCAACATATTTCCATGACCCGCATATGGCTAGGTGACAGGCAGCTGTGGGGCTCCCGTGTGATATAAACATTATATTACCTGAAACTGAAGGATTTGGTGATGATTCTATATTATCTGTTAAATTATACAAAATTTCACCTGTAGGATATCTGGCTAAAATTGTACGTAACGTTTTAATAACCCTTGGAATGCATCCAGCATCTCCACCAATTTCAGGAGGTAATATACTGTAGACCGGTTCATAAGTGTCATCAACGTATGGGTTCATTTTCCTGAAAAAACCATTTCTTGGAGCGAACTTGAACGGTTTTCTATCCCGCTTACTTAATTTGCTCCATTGTTGGCCGACCTGGCGGTGACATGCAGACGTTCAACGATTCACCCAAGCCTGGTTCGATCCATACTGAGGGCGGGATTTTTTTGGCTGACAGAATTCCTGTTGCTGTTTCTACGCAACGAGTGAACGGCGAACAGATTATGTAGTCGATAGGCTCATCAGCCAAAGCTATCCCGACTTCACGTGCTTGTTGATGGCCTCGGGGACTAGGTTAGGGTTTATTCTCTTGAGGCGTGCTACAATTACGGTGCAATTCTCACCTGAGAGGCGGATCATCCCACCGTTCGGCGGTTATTTTCCACGCTTTGTTGACATTATCGACACGTTCGCCATGCCGAATGAACCAGAGTATGCGACTGTGATGTTTCATACCTGAAATTTTTGTAAAAGGGATGAATTGGCTTTTCTCATGGTTTTACGAGCAATGGTGAAAATGTTAACTTAGAGAACGGGCCAAATGTCCGGCAAGTGAGGGCAAGAATGGGATGGTTGTATCGGGATAGTCTACGAAGTTCCACGAAGCCATAGTGCAGTTACTGGAAATTCTCATCGGACTTAGAAACTAGCTGCTTACCATATAGTAGATGAAGAACCAGTGCGAGTGAGCAAGCGAGAAGGAATAAAAAACCCCCAAAGACAGCTTACTTTCATTATCAATCTATTTACACTGTATCATTAATATGGAACATATGGTTTGGATA